TTATGCATCCTTCTTATTGGTGCTGTCACATCATCATCTTCATCTTGGACTAGAAAGTTCACAGTGTGGTTTCAATGGCCAGAAAGAGGCGTAGCTACAAAAAAAATCCACACAAGTACTACTATTCAGTTTTTTCAAATAAAGCACCACATTGGCCAACATATTTATTTTTAATTTTTCGTGGACTTTCATTGTAACCCCAGTAAAGTTTTTTTTTTTTACCAAGTTGTGTCTGTTCCTGCCACATCCTCAGGTTTTTCCACAGGCCTTCTGGTCACCCTGTGCTCTGCCACTGCTTTCTAATCTAATTGTAATCTGATTCTGAAGCTGCAGCTTGTGGGCACAATTCATCTACTGCCTGTGACAGATGGACAAATGGTCATGAGAATAAAAAATGGTATCTGTTTTCTTTTTCTTTCCTTTTTTTTTTACTGTGTACTTGCCTCAAAACATTGTTTCTGGTCATAAATCTTTCGGGTTGACTGTATCCACATACCGCACAAGTGCCTGAAGACAAAAGTGGGCAGAGCAAGGTGTTGTGTAATTTGTTATGTTGTTAAATGCCTAATATATGTCCACCTGGTTTCAGAATGCTGTTGCTGCAGTTTTGTGTGCCTGCTTTCGTGTCTAGACTGTAATTGTTTTTATCGTTTCGATTGCAGAGACCATTTGGAAGGGACTTTTTTTTTAACATCCTAACTCCGTGTCATCTGCACCGTCTGCAAGTGGTTGGGGGCTCTAGACAGCCACACATTGCGCCCTTAATTTGCGGTCTAGCTCATTCTGACAGTCCAGCTTGTGTTGATGTGGTGTGTCTAAAGCAGCAGTGCCACGCTGACCAGCATACATGTGGCGCCTTTCACATGTGCTACAGCCCACACTTCCACCGTTTTATTACAATCAGTCTTAGTAGCTTTTAATGCAAATGATGCCATTTGTTTCATGTGGTTTAATGAGCTACACAGATTGTAACTGCAAAGACCTCACAGCGTTTTAATATGGCTGAGGAGTGCACACTATTTAAGGTAGCTCATTGTTCTCCAGCATTTTGCAGGGGCCGGGAAAAAAAAAATCAGAAATAGATTAAAGTTGAAAACTATTCATGTTTCTCAGGGCTGTTAATTAGATGAAAGGATTTATCAGATGTTATTTTTATTAGAAGCATTAAAATAAAAGCAACATATGTCACACACTTGATCCCTTTGCACAGTCTGCTCAATTGTCAGCACAATCTGGAGACAATGGGACGGTTGATGTGGGAAACTTGAAAATACTGTGCACCAACACCCACACACACACACAGGGCATGTGACCTGCTCTCCCAGAGTCAACCTGTTTGAAGTTAATCCTCATTATGAAGTTATTAATCTTAATGACGAGATCTGAAAGAGAGCTGTAAAAGAGCCTTAGCCAAAGTTTTAGTCTTTATTACTTTAGCCGATATGGATTTGTTCTTGCAGATATGCTCCAGTTATCCTGTACACGTGTTATTGGTAGTTTTCAGTGACCTCGGCACTTCCAAGCACGAATACAGAAAAGGGTAGTGACTGGCAAAATGCTTTACGTTCTCAGTAACTCCGCACTCTGTGTGGCGTATTTCCATCTGTTCATTGGTGGTACTTTACAAAGACATAAAGACTACAAAAGAGAAGAAGCTGTTCAGCCTGTCCAGCTCAAATTGTTCGGTGTTGCATGACGGAGTAAATCTGGGTTTGTCGTTTTGTGAATCAAGGCATGCTTAGAACCTCAGCTTTGCAGTTTTTGGAGTTGGTGCAACCTACATCACTGGATGCGTTCCTTGTTTTTACTTGACTAGTTTGTTAACGTGCTCTGGATGCAGTTCCTGTCGCCAGGTGTTGTAGCAAAACACGATACCTGGGGGTTTGCCTGCAAAGAGGAATCCAGTGCCCTGTGATGGCTTTTCGTCACATTACTGAAGTACAATCGCCAGACCTCTGATTAGTTTAAAAGGTGTCTCTGTCTGCGTACCCCGTCTATAATATCCACAACTTAACAGTATATGTTTCCCGTCATTCTGCATTTCACCTGTTACAAATGGCTTTCTGTGGCATTAAATGCATTAAGGGTTGTCTGGATACTGTTTACGAAGGGTTTTATTGAGATTCAGCAGTATTCAGAGTAATTACAAGAGTCAGATGCATTGATGTTATCTATTAAAGTAGATTTCCATCCTGAAACAACCAAGATGCATTTAATGTTTGACCCAGTGTGAGTGTACTGAAGCCAATTACACTCTAAATGAATGAAGGCTTCTGATAGTCATCTTTGACAAGGCTTTCATTATGATGCTCTTGAAAAACAGAGCGAAGTAGAGATTAATAATTTTATTTACTTACAACATTTTTTGAGTAGTTAGGCCAAGTAAGGGCTACATCCCCAGCAAAATCAATGACCAGCACATTACTGTAAAACGTATTGATTAGAAAAAAAGCCCAGTGAGCACAATGTTAGTCATTGACATGGTGGAATGATGCAATACTTAAAGGAATTTATCCCTTGACTTTTACATTAACCTTTTATTGACTGGTTGCATGTCCATAATTAACACTCACTTTAGCTAAAGTGGTTAATTTCAACATCATGACTAGTGCTCACTTTAAAGCCAGCTTGCTGCAGTTCAGGGTAAGTGTGTAGTCTGGCCTCAGTGGAATACAGACGATAGGATCATAGATACCTTTCACATTAGCATACCATTTTATGGGAGTCGCTGTGCTATAGAGTTTCATTGAAAATTGAAATGAGTGATCGTATTGCCAATCTGAGTTGATCGCAAGCCAGACGTGATAGTTAACCTGTATTTGTTTGAGGTTAATCTGTTGGAATGGGCAAGACTCGCAAGTGTTGAAGGACGTGAATTTTATCTTTAGTTTAGATTTTTTTCACGGATTTTCTTTTGAACGCCTTTTCTGTTGTTCATTTTCCCTACCTCATCTTCTTTATGACGATCTAACCTTTAGTTGATTTTGCACGTGCACCCAGAGTTTGCAGAACTTTAGGAACAGTGGCAATGCTGAATTAGTTTTGCTTGAAATGTTTCACAAGGATGTAACACTTTTATAGTGCACAGTAATGTAGAGAGTCTCTTGATGGTTTTTGCAGTCCAAGAATGCAACATTCAGCCTCCCCAGGCCTCCTGTTTTTAACAAGTGGTCTCCTACATGTGATGTGTTTGCTATTCTGGACATGCTGTAGGTTAAAGTTGTCATTTTTGGGTTTTTTTTGGGGGGGTTGTGCATCTGTCATCCTTTCATTCACTATACCGGCAGTTCAACAGCAGTGCATTGATTTAGCATTTAAACTCCCAGGCTGGTTGATAAGGGACAGCTGATAGGAGCACACAGCTCCTCTTGAAATGTGCTCTACTACTCTCACAGAAAAAAAAAGAGCTGTATTTGCAAATGCTGATGTTGTGTGTGGACATCAATTCCTAATTACGCCGATGCACCGTCTCATCTCGTGTGGCAGAATAACCATAGCCTGACCTTTCAGAAACGGTGTTATTGTGTTAATTTGCACACTTTATTACAGTTGAATATTTATGCTAAGCGGATTGTCCCAAGTAGCTTCTGTTCCTTTAATTCTTTCTCTAAATAAATAATGAGAACATTTAAACACATTACTCGTTTCGAAGCCCCAAGGTCGGCTAATCTTATTATTTATGAAGTGATGTGCTACATAATAGTACTTAGTGCATGTTAACAGATGCTATTATCAGGGCCTGATTTGAAGCACAGAAGATATATTGGAATGTTATATGTTAATACTGTCCTCCTGGTGTAATGTACTACAGATTGAGGGCAGATGATGCTGAAATGTAGCACTTAGCCGCAAAGCTGCCTGGGTATTAAGTGGCCTGAACGAAATGTAGAACCACAAATTGTAGCTACAGCTAGCTTGTCCCCTGGCCATTTGCACAGCCCACCCACTGACACAACCCAGTGCGGTTAAAAACCTCTGGGGGCTTGTGAGCTTTGGGGGGGGTCGCCATTAAGGCGAGAGTCGAGGAAGAAAAGTTTCTTTTTAATAATCTGCAGTCCTGGCGTCTGGAGCGCCTCTAGGTGTCCTTGCCACCCAGCGGGGAGCTCGCTGTCGCTTGCGTTCACAAGCTCGGGCCCCTCAGCCACCGGCCCGCCGATTCATGACGACAGTGAGGATTCGGGCAGGAGGCCCGGCTCCTGCAAGACGTCATGTGGGAAGAGCTGGGATTCCCTCTTGTGCTGGGTTATCCGGATTTTAATATCGGAATGCAGAAAAGCGACTGACTGATAGCGTGTTAGGTTTGAATACAACTCCGGGTATAGAAAAGGCACGTTTGTTGCGTTTAGTTTGGAGCATAAAAAAAAACCTTTTGGTAATAGAATTACAAATATGACTCATGTATTTTAATAAGGTATGAAAGGAGAAACACACTCCAAAGCCATCTGCCAACATTTAAATAATTGCTCTGTGAATCACATTGTGTTTTGTACTGTTTGCAAGTTGATTTATGTTGTTCCTGAACACAGTGTTGCACAAAGGAGATTTCTCAGTCTCTTCTGCTAAAGACAATATGGTTTCAGTTCAACTGGCTGGAGCTCTGTCAGCCAGTTTCAGCATGCTCTCCTCTCTGAAGGATTTAATTGACAGTTAGTGATGGTTATTGGGGGTAATAAATCAGGTGTGGGTTAAACAACTGAACTGTTGGTAAGGGAGATTAAGGGATGTGTGTTTAAAGAGCACACATTCACAGCACTCCAGCCCTCAGCGCAAGGCAATGTCCACTAACTCTCACAAAGTAGTGCTTCCTTTCAGACGCGCCTCTGCCAAAGCATTGCTTCCGAAACTTGCGATGGAAATGATGTTATCATAAATAAAACGTGCGTTTGAGTCACAGCACAGCAGCCGTCTTAAAATAAGAAGCGTGCACGTAGCCATTTCCCAGCGACTCCTTAACTGCCAGGACATGTCGTCTAGAATAATTTTGTTTATCCTGCCTCCAGGTGCCACTCCAGACTTGCCCAGACTTTGCCACCTGATGAGGCCCCTATGTGCCGCCCCGACTGGCATGATGATGACTCGTCTATGCCCCTGCCCTTTGACCTAAAGGCCATAATAGATGCACTGGAGAGGGTCCTTTAAAGAGGAGGTAAGAAATGAACACAAATGTAATGCATTGACAACCTATCCTTAGCATGCTCTGTACATAGAAAATGAACCCCATCTACTGTATATGCATTAATATGCAGTCTCCCTTTTTCAGTTACAGGTTGTTACTGTGTGTAAAAAAAGAAAATGAATGTCAATATACTGGAGAATTATTAAAAAGTGGCCTTCGTGGCAATTCAAAAGTTGGTGTAATTATCAAGATTTTGGTGTGCTTACTAGTGCACAAGTGTGTATTTTTGAGTGCTGGCTCATACAGTATTTTAGCAGTGTGCAGGCAGGCCTCAACCCCTTGCAGACTCAGAAGACTTGATATGAGGGCTGGTCCATGCTGGTGAGCCTGTCCCGTGTCTGTCTGGCACGTTCAAGGAGAATGTAGACTGCGTTCTAAATCTTCATGAGTGCGCAGACCTCTGTGTATTTTTATAATCCCAGCCTTAATAAATAGTGTATGTCTGGTCAATAGTTCTTTCCCCTTGCTCATAAATATCATGTAATTATCAGACCCTGTTAGAGTTTGGACTCAGTACAAACACCCCTTTTCTTTATCATCTTTCCAGTCGTAATGGATGTTCTTTCCGATGTTCATTTTCTGGCATTAAGTGCATGGGGAATGCAGGTCAGCTTCATTCTAAGCAGCAACATAAATTACTTGTTAAATATTAAGAAACTGTGATTGGTTTCAAATAGAGAAGTTCATGACTTTGAGTATATATTTTGTTTTCATCAGGCTTTGAAGAATGGCTGTGAAATGGTCTTCTGCAGCATGCATGTCAGCCTAAATGGATTACTGAAGACCAAGATCTGGTCGCCTGTCACCACTTGCCTTTAGACAGTATCCATCAATGTGAGGCCAACACCCACAGCACACTCTTTCTCCAACTTGAGCCAGATCTGGGGGCTCGGTATGTTGATTAGGAACAAGCAGAAAAGAGGCTGGTCCTCCAGTCGCGACTTTGTCGCTTATGCATCATCTTTTTCTGACAAAATACTGAACCCTGAGACAAAGTGCCCACTGTATGGACTTGTTTAGGCATCAGTGCAATGCTTTGACATTCAGTAAATCTTTCCATAGTAACGGAAATCTGTGCAACTGCTGTTATCTGTACGATTGCCTTGCTAGCAGTCTGTGTCGTAACTGCAATCTGACAGAGTCAACCATAATGTTTCTTACAGCTCCAGATTTCTGAGGTGTCAGAGTGGTCAATGCTATAACACATTCGTTGTTTGATACCTTATGAAATTGCTGTTGATTAAGAGCTGACACGTGTCATTTATCTTTACCACAAGATTTTCTCTTTATTTTCTTGCTGCCTACTGTAGGGATAGACAACATGCCATTTTTCTGTGACTTGCTGTGCACCCATTACGCAGTGCTGTGATCATGGAGTCGTGTTCTACCAGTTCCGTATGCATGTGTGTGTCGGCAGTGCCCTGTTTCCACTGCTGTTGGTGGCTATCACTGGCTGCCATGTGTTTTGACAATAATTAGCAAGAGGAGCCTCAGGTGCTCTTGAGGGATATTTGAGTCTGTTGAGGAAACGTGGACCCTCTTTTCTGTGTGTTACATTGATAAGAGTCCCCCTTATCGTCATCGCCTGCTGCGGCTCCAGTGCGGAACACATGGATTTTGTAATTACAGCTGTTTTGTGATTTTTAATTACTTTAAAACTGTGTTTAGCATTCTTTTTGCTCTTGTACTGTAGGGGATTTTAGTCATTTTTATGATTTTGATTAAATTGGATTTTTTTAGGAATGCGAGAGAGGAAGGGAGTTCGCTTGATGTTTTTGTAGACGATTACGCATAAGCTAGGAAATGCCTTGTTAATAAATTATTCTCCCATCATAACTCCTGGTTTATGTTTTTTGCTTTTGATAGTGTTTTAGAGGCCGTCTTTGGCCTTCATTGCTGATTTCTTTGTTTTTGTGTGGACTTTGCTTTTGACTAAGTGGTCTGAGTGAAGTCTAAAGAGTCTGCTCACATGGCAGATCCAGTAAATGGGGTGTAACTGTGTCCCTCTGGCTTGCCTGGTTAAGCTCCGAGGGCCACAAGACACAGGCTCTCTGCACTGCCGAGTGCTCTTGAGTTCATTTTGAAAAGAATCTTTTTAAGTAACCTGACGTTGTGTTTACAGGCCTTGTTGGAGTTGGATGCAAAGACAACACGGTCTCAAGTAGTTACACTGAACTGATCATTCCTTTCAGACCACGATTTGTTTATGTACAGCAGACATTTTATTGTTTCGTACCACTGAATCGTTCTGCGATCCTCTCACTTCTGAAATTCTGTTATTTTGCTTTTTCCCTGGTACCAGTTTGGAGGCCGATAAACATCTCCACCGTCCAGTTGCTGCAGTCGTTTTATTTTTTCGTCGTGCAGAATAGGTTTGTGATTCTCTGACTTGAAATACTGTTATTTTTCTTTTCTCATAGTAATTAAATGCAGAAAGTTCTTCCTGTTCATCTGAATTATAGCCTTCAGCCCCGCCCCATCACAGCACCTTTTGACATTCCCGTAAATTTTAAGAAATACCGGCAGTCATCTATTGGAATTTAAAATTATTTACTACTCTTGGCTTTTTTGCTGGTGAACAAATTAGCTCAAGTGTGTCCGAGAGTGTTTTTCTTCTCCTGTAGCTCTGCCAGATTGGCAGCACTAAACCTGTAGCTGTGAATTTACAGGCAGCCCTATGGCTCTGTTTACAAGAATCTCAAGAGCCCTTGGCTTGCTGGACACCAGAGGAAACAAGCTGCTACTCTATGATTTTCCAGTTCCAAACATGTCCTGTAGCTTTATGGGGTCTTCCAGCCCTGCAAAGGCAACTTAGTGTTTTTACAGAGTTAATACTGGGCTGTGCTCCCTCCATATAGTGTATAATCAGAGCTGTTTGTTTTCCTGTTTACCCTTAGGGCTAGCCTGTACCTGTAGCTGCTGGGATCCTTCTTAAGTGAGCCCCCAATTAAACTGCAGTGTTAACAGACTCGTTTAGGACACAGCCTACTAACCTCTGCTTATATTATTAACATTACGTTATGATTTATACTGCATCAGCACAGAAACTTTGCCACGGTTTGTTCCCATATACTACCTCAACCTTAAATATATATGGCAAAATTGTATTCTTTTTCCCATTTTGTCTTGCTTTGCTTTGATGCCATTTTGTGAAATGGTTATGACTGTGATTACTGATTATGGCTTATGCTTCCTTGTCTGTCTGATGGTCGTTTCAGTGTTATTACACATTCCGTATTCCCTGGAATGTCCAGAATTTCCTTCCATGCAGCTTCTGTGTCCTGGAACTGACCAGCGGGCAGGTTTTGCTTTCAGTTTGAGGGCCAGTGAGAGACAAGGCGTGCAAGTGTTTTATGGTTATTAGCAATTTGGCTCACATGGAGAAAAAAAAGCTGTCAAAGTGCCCTAGGAGGCACTAGATTGGTATCTTATCTGTGTAATTCTGTCCTAAACTCAATTCAGCAGGAGATTGCTACTAAAATCCTCTTCACCTGAGGGTGAGTGGCCAGCTTATGTCCACTGCAGACACACTCCCGACCCCTCTCCCCTCGGGGCTGTGTGGTGTCGATCTCTGGATCTTGTTACCCGTTTGAAGTCAGATAAACATCTCCACAATCTGGTTACTGTGTCCAGTCAACTGTCTGTCCATCTGTGACTGTCATTACTGGCCAGTGGAAAACACCACAGAGGTAACTGCTTTAACCTGCAACACCAGGGGTAGATTTCGTCACTAGAATTCTTATGGCTCCTTACCATTTTTAACGAAGTGAGAGTGCTAAATAACTAGATGTTTGTCATTGTTGTTAAATTAGTAATAAGGTTCACACCTAGGAAACTCAATGCTAGATGTTTCCAAAAGTTACAGAAACTTACTGTATCCGAAGTTACTGGTCCAAAACACACACACAACCTACGAAATGTCCGTCTCACACCTGCACCTTTCCACACACATTGAAATATATCATTTGTCATTTGAAAACAGTTTTCTGGTTGTTGTTTTTAGTATAATAGGCTGAAATTTGTTATAAATCCTATGTGGCAAAGAATCTACTCAACGTTATAATAAGTGCTTATTTCAGCCTCTGCATTGCTTTCTGAACCTCGGCCTTCCCTCCCATTCCCATGTTCTGTTTCCCTTCCGCGAGAGAGAGGCTGGGGTCTCAAGCCGCCCCTGCTCCACTCCGATGCTCTGTAAAGCTGCCATCATCATCAAAGAGCAGTCGCTGCCGGCTGCCTGTCTCCTCCTCCGGGTTCCCGCTCGCTCGCCATGCCGAGACGGAGGCAGATCTTCCCTGGGTACCCCGCGGGGCCATCCCGGAGAGCGGCCTCCGGGCCTTCGGCGTCTTGCGCGGTCCCGCGCTTGCAAATGAATCCCACTGCATGCTTCTAAGACAGCCGTTTAAACAGCACATTTGGTGTACAAACAAGGTTCATTAGCTGATCGGGAACAGTAATGGGCGGACAGTTGCTCTCCTTTCAGGGGTAACTGCATTATACACCTCTAGCTTTAAGATGTTCCTCGGTGATAGCATCCCCAGTTGCAATGCTGTTGCCAACAGCTGTAATTTCTTTTTCTCGGATCTCCTAACTAAGTGATAAGTGTATTATTTTCCATGACAAGAGGTCCCTCAGCTGACTTCCACTGGAAAGACAAGAACTGCTACAAGCTATGTATGGATGTAGCAGGTGTTCTACAGGAAATAAACAAGGCTCTCAAACCCACAGCTAAATAACCCCCCCACCCTGCTCAAAGCTACCTCTTCACATCTCTCCCTCCTGCTCCTCTAATTCTGGCAGGTCCATGATATCTTAATGAAAACCATAACATCTCTTTTAGAAGGCAGGGTGTACCTGAAGCTTACAAAGCTGGCTTGGCACTGTCTTTTTCAGTCTCAGAAATAAGCAAGGTTCTGTTTCTTTTTCTCTTTTTACCCGTCTGAGCCTCTGTCTAGCTATCTCTCTGCCAATCTGTTTTAGGACAGCTGAATATTTTCAGACAAGTGTTTGTTTTCTACAATATTGGTTGTGGTAGTAATATCTGTAGACTGAATTAATCCTGAACCTGCCTTTGAAAGAGTCTTGATTATCAAAATGGAAATCCTTTTTTTGAGTGTACCTGTATTATATTTTTTGTTGTTATATGGATAAAAAGACTTCATCTTAACCCCCAAAAGAATTTTGTTCTCACTCCTGAATATTTGGGGGTTTCGTTTGACATGTTTTCTTTTTTACACATTCTTTGGAAGTTAGAACAGTCTGGGCCAAGTTGTGTTATTTATGGATTTAAAGAACTTGTGGGGGAGATGAGGCGTGAGAGATCCCAAGAGAAGCCAGGCTGAGACTGCCACAGCCGAGCCCCGCTCTGCCAGACAGGGGTTAAAACATCTCTCTGCTGATGAGGCTCAGGTCCTGTTGTCCATCCTTCAGTGAAAAAATGAGGGCAAAAGAAACTGTCCGTTGAATTAATAATAAAGCATTTATCACTTATGGAACGGTTTTTGAAGAAATCCTAAGAGAGACTCCTAAAATAACCTCAGCCTGGGCTACAGAGACCAGCAGTGAATATGTCTCGCACGGAGGATTGCATCCGAAGTGCTGTCTTCTAATCTAATTCCGAGGTAATTAATTCCCTTGTTTCCTTCATGTGCGACCCATGTTCTGCTTTTCCGAAATGTGCCGTTGACTAGGAACTCAGACTGCCTTCCTATCAGATCTAAAGAACGAGCTCCAGCTACAGCAGCTCTAAACCCCGGCATTGGAGCACCCCAGTAACCTATATTTGCATAATTAGAACTGTTTTGTCTCATAAGGAGATTATAATAAAATGTAACATTTTGCTGTGGCACTGGCAACATGCTTTGTTATTAGGTAAGACAGAGCTTTGCATTTCCTATTTTCTACCAAGCTGCGTGGACAGCCAGGGATAATTGAGTCATCTGCATCTCATATAAAATGGATGAAAGGCTTGTTTTAATATCGCTGGCCCCTGCTCAGCTCTGAGACGCAAAAGAGTCTGCTCATTTCAACACGAAAACATGCAAAAGCAACTTTAATTCCTCATTGCGGAGGACAGGCCTGACATTTCGATTTAGTGGTGGCCTTTAAAATCTTAATCAGCTGCAAGGAATTATCCGGGACAAGCCTGTACACCTTGTTCTTTGTTTATGGTTATCATGTTTAATACATTTTAGGGCCCTATGCTGGATACAAGTGGCTATTAAGGCAGCATTAAGATGTTTCGATAGCGGGCTGTGGGAGGAAGATGTGATATATTCATTAGGAGAGACGTTCACCTTATCTGCGGTAGCTGAAGGGTATCTCCGTCACCAAGATCTCCTGCATGAACCCTGGTGCGCAAGCCTGATACCTTGATTGACGTATCTTCAAATAAGCTCTTGAATAGCTTTTGGCATTGGCCTCGGAATAACTTAGATGTCAAATTACATCTGGAAGGATTCTTGGCTCCTCAGGGGCATGAGAATTCTATTTATCCATCTCTTTATTATTTTTATTTATTTGGTTTAAATATTTGGGCTGGGGGTGGGGGGGGGGGGTGAATTTCTGCTCTCCTGGTCAAGGTCTTTATATTTGGTTAATAAAAGAGTTTGGGAGATTGTTTGCTTACGAAAGTGCAAGATAGGATGATTTTATTTAAGGAAATACTCACAGGGATGACGTGACCTTTTTTTTTCAAGTCTGTTGTGTACTCAGGAGTGCTGTGCTTCGCAGTGCCTTACTGCAAACAGGCCTCATTGCTTTCTGTTTGGCCGGAGACTAAAAAACAATTAAACTGCTTCCTCACTTGACTTCAGGCGTTGCACTC